GGAACGGTGAAGGGCCCACCCACCCGCGCTCCTTACTGGTCTTTGAAGGCTTCTGCGCTTCCACGCAGGCGTATGGCACATACAGTGCCTGCGCGATTCTCCGCGAGCAGCTGGATGGCACATACAGCGTCTGCCCGAGTCTCCGCAAGCAGCTGGAGCATCGTGCAGGCGCTAAGACGCATTCATGAACTGCGCGCGTGCACGAGGACGCCGCCGGCCCCGAACCGGTTGGACCGGTTGGAACGGGATTAGCAACCCACCCCTGCTAGAGATTAACAGAGTTGGAAGGGACTTCATATGTCATTTAGTCCACCCACCCCCCACTCAAGGAGGAGACCCTACAGCATTTCTGACAAATGGCACTCTCTTCTGGAAAGCTTCCAGGGATGAAGCTCTCACAATTTCTGAAGGCAACTTCTGTTCTATGGGTTGATTGTTTTCACTGTCAGGAAATTTCTCCTTATTTCCAGGTTGAATCTCTCCTTGTTCAGTTTCCATTCATTATTCCTTGTCTTCAGTTGCTTTGGGAAATAGTTTGACCCCTTCCTCTCTGTGGCAGCCCCTCAAATATTAGAAGACTGCTATCCTGTCTCCCCCTGGTCCTTCTCTTCACTAGACTAGCCATGCCCAGTTCCTGCAACCGTTCATTGTATGTTTTAGCCTCCAGTCCCCTAATCATCCTGGCTGCTCTTCTCTGCACTCTTTCTAGAGTCTCAACATCTTTGTTATAGTGCGGTGACCAAAATTGGATGCCGTACTCTAGGTGTGGTTTTACTAAGGCTTTATTAGAATGGTATTAGTGCCTCCCTTGATCTTGATTGTATCCCTCTGTTAATGTAATTTAGGATTGCATTGGCTTTTTTGGCGGCGGCTGCACATGGCTGGCTCATATTTAGCTGATTGTCCACTAAGACTCCAAGATCCCTCTTACAGTCACTGCTATTAAGCCTGGTTTCACCTGGATTATATCTGTACTTTTGGTTTTCTTACCTAGGTGTAGGACTTTCCTTTTCTCTACATTGAATTTCATTTTCTTAGATAGGTGGCCAGGGCTCACGTTGGTCAAGATCCAGCTGGAGCTTGAGCCTATCTTGTAGGGTGTTAGTTTTCCTGCCAGCTTAGTTGCAAATTTGCTCCAAATTAGTCTGCAAATGTGATAAATTCCCCTTCTGTTCTGCTCCTCTCCTGCCTTGCTTAGCAATGCAAATTCTGGTCCCAATTGTGATTATATGTTGAAGACTATCTATATTTAAAAATTCAAACACACACACACACACACACACACACACATTTACCACCTTGACCAAAGCATCAGATTGTGCAGACGCTTCTGACCTAGAAATCAAGATTCACAAGTCAAAGAGCTGGAGCTGCTTTAAAGGAACTCCTTTCCTTCCCACCCCACCCCCCTGAGTGTGCTGTGCACTTCAACCCTTGGCAAATAGCTCCTGTGCACACCTGGGTGAGTGTGACCACAGCCATGAAGACCGGCGGAGGACAGGCACGGTGCTGGTAGAAGTACCACCGTCGGTGCATCTCACATGGGAGGATCTCGTATGCCACATAGCGCACAAAGCGTTTGTAGAAGCCCAGCCCGGTCTCATCCAGGAGCCCATCCTGAGGCAGGGCCCTCTGTCCATTGGCGATGGCCCGCTTGAAGCTGCTGGAACGTTTGCTGCTGATCTGCAAGGAGAAACAGTGACCCCAACAGCAGGAAAATCACCACCACGTCTTTCATCGTGAACTGCCTCCTAGAGACCCTCCCCAACAATTCCCAACCCTGCCTTTGAGCCAAAAATATCTCTGTGGCAGGATATGCACAGGGGAACATCAGGCTGAGCTGGGAGGTGGGGTTAAACATGTCATCCGTTTGGAATCATTACATTGCAAGAAAAGCCAAGCCCTGTCTCCCTGGGAGCTCTCCCAGGTCCTGAAATATCTGTTCTTGACCAATTGTAGAAAAGTGGATACTACTACTAGCAAACCACCTAAAATAGCATTTCTCAACCATAGCAGCTTTAAGATAAATGTGGAACACTGAGAATTGGTCAACATGTCGTACAGCTGCTGAGGTTGAGAAATGTTGGTGTACAGAAGTGGAAAATGTAGTGTTATGGCTTGCCAGCTGCCAGCAGAGCTGGCGGCAGACTCGGATGATGAGGAGGTTGGAGAAGAATTTGGGCCAGTTCTAGGGCCTGGGGAAGGCTCTAATAGATGCTCAGCATCGGAGACAGAGATAGAGCCAGGGCTGTCTGATATTTCCCAGCCACTGGAGAGGCAGATGCCCTTGGAGGCTGCTATGAGTGAGGAGGAAGAACTGCTGGGGCCTGTTCCAGATGTGTATATGCACAGAGCAGTTAGGAGAAGAGAACAATGGAGGACGAGGAGTCGACTGGGGAAGCAAAGCACACGTGGACGCTGAATGGCCTCTCCCTGGCTAGGGAATAAAGTAGAAGGAAAGGGGAGTGGTGGTTGTAGGAGACAACAGTTCGGATTTCTGAAGACTTTGCTCATTGTATTTTGTGCCACAGAGACTGCTTGCCAGAACTTAAACTGCAGCCTTTCGGCTGGGAGCTCACGGCCTTGCAATTATTGCAAGGAACTGATAAGAAGGGCTGTTGTTGCAGTTAACCCTTTGAAGGACTATTGCCTGGACTTTTCAGTGGGTGAATGTAATTAATTCCCAAGAGGGGGTTTCGGGACAAGGAGTCTGTTTCTTGTTTCTGCTAAGGCTGGGTCAGAAAACGTAGGCCATCCATGCTCAAGAGACTCTGACCCAGCCACATACAGCTGTGGGTACTCACGCCACTGACCAGATCTACCAGCTCCTGATAGCAGATCTGACCCTCGTCATTGCTCTGTGCCAAGGCCACCAACATCTCCAGTTTTGCAGGATCCAGAGGGAGTTCATGGCTGTGGACCAGGCTGGCGAAGGTCTCCACTCCAACAAAACCGGTGTTTTTGGGATCAAGCTGTCAAAGGAGTGGGGGGGGGGGAAGGGGGGAAGAATCAGCAATGGGCCACCAAGTGGTCCCTATTTTTCTACTTGCCTTTTTTAACGTGCTTTCGAACTGCTAGGTTGGCAGAAGCTGGGACAAGTCACGGGAGCTCACTCCGTTACACGGCGCCAAGGATTCGAACCGTCGAACTGCCAACTTTTCTAATGGACAAACTCAGCATCTTAGCCACTGAGCCACCGGAATTATTAGAGATGTTATTAGAGATGTCCTATTGGCACATCTGGGAAACCCCAAATCTGAAAGCTTCCAGGTTTTCCCCACCCAAACGAAAGTCCAAGCCCCTGCCCAGCACCCCCATGTCAATCACATGGCCCAATCAGGCACTGTCCCAACTGGAGATGCCTCCCAGTCACACCCCTCCAGGTGCAGGGCAAGGCGTCCTTGACTCTTGAGAAAGGAACATTAACCCATTTCCCCACAGCAGTGAATGTGGCAGGCCTGAAGGCCCAGAGCAAAAATTGTCTTCCAGGCCTGACACTTCAAATTACCAACATTCATTTAAGGACTGTTCCGAGTTACAACAGACTGGAAACAGGGACTTACAACCAACTCCTGTACTTGGGGCCATCTGAGCATCTCCACAACCAATACAACAGCAGAGTTGGAAGGGACCTTGGAGGTCTTCTAGTCCAACCCCCTGCCTAGGCAGGAAACCCTCTAGCATTTCAGACAAATGGCTATCCAACATCTTCTTAAAGACTTCCAGTGTTGGGGCATTCACAACTTCTGGAGGCACCATGTGATCAAAATTTGAACAATTTGCAACTGGCATGTATTGATGATGGTTGCAGCATCCTGTTTGGGGGGGGTGTCATATGACCTCTGTTTCTGACCATCCCAGCTGGCCTCTGACAACCACATGATTCACTTAACAATCACAGCGATTTGCTTAACAACCGTAAGGAAAAAAAATGTGGTAAAATTGGATGCAGCTCATTGAATTGGATGCAGCTCACCTTGCTTAGCAATGGAAGTTCTGGCCCCCAGTGGTGTTTACAAATTGAGAACTACCTGCAAGGGAGCCGCGTGGATGAGTGCATGAAGTGAATTCAGTTATGAATTCAGTGTAACAGAATAGAATAGAATAGAATAGGAGAATCGGGAATAGAGTAGAGTAGAGTACAATAGAATAGAATGGAATGGAATAGAATAGAGAATCAGGAATAGAGCAGAGCAGAGCAGAATAGAATAGAATAGAGAATCAGGAATATAGAGTAGAGTAGAATCAGGGAATAGAATAGAATAGAAAATCAGGAATAGAGCAGAGTACAATAGAATAGAATGGAATAGAGAATCAGGAGTAGAGTAGAGTAGAATAGAATAGAATAGAATAGACTCACAGGGCTGAAAGGGACTTTGGAGATCTTCTAGTCCAACCCCTGCCAAAGCCAGAATACCTTATATTATACTTGCTCTCAATCATGCTTTCTTTTTTCTCTGTAGGAACCCAAAACAAATGTTTTCGTCAAGATCTTACCGGAATCCCAGTTTTTGCTGAAAAGTCTCTGTCCTTTGAGTTTCCCCACATCTAGGGGGCCACCCAGTAGCCCCCCCCCCCAAATCTCTCTTGGCTAAACAGAGATAGCAAGCAACACTGAAGGTTGAGGAAATCGGTTTTTATTTTTATTTTAGAGAACAGCCGGGCCATGCAGTGAAATAGGAAAGCGAGGGGCTTTGATGAATGTTTGATGAAGACTAGCCCTTTTGCCTTGATAAACATGCTCTGTGTGTGTTGCAATGCCTAAAAGGATCGCCAGCACCTAGCTGAGGGTGCCCAATAACCAAAGATTTCTAGATGTGGCAGAAATAGTACGTGTACACACACACACACACACACACACCTACCCAGTGGTGGGTTTCAAAANCAAAGCCCAAGAGCCAGCACTGTCCAAAGATGTCACCATGGTCATGTGGCCAGCATGACTAAATGCCAAAGGTGCATGGAACGCTGTTACCTTCCAACCCAAAGGTGGTTCCTATTTTTCTACTTGCATTTTTATGTTCTTTCGAACTGCTAGGTTGGCAGAAGCTGAGACAAGTAACGGGAGCTCACTCCGTTACACGACGCTAGGGATTCGAACCACCGAATTGTCGACCTTTCTGATTGACAAGCTCAGCGTCTTAGCCACTGCACCACTGCAGCGGGAGGGGGGGGGAGAAACTCTTTTGGGAAGGGTGACCTGTGGTCTTGAATGCACCAAAGCATTACGGATGCATTTATGGTCCAATGCATTTCCTGAACTCTTCTCACCAGCCCAGCTGCAAATCTTAGCTCGGCTGAAATTTATTTATTCAATTTTGATCCAGCTTTTATAGTTTAAATAAATAATTCAAAGTGGTGAACATACCTAAGATTTCTTCCTAGTCTTATTTTCCCCACAACTGGCATACAGCCCTGGCCCCCTCTCTGCCTCAGACACAAAGCCCTCATCAGAGCCTTCCCCTGACTCCAGGACTGGCCCATCTTCCTCCCCAACCTCCTCACTGTCCGAATCTGCTGCCAGCTCCACTGGCCACTGTGGTGGGCCACAACAGCTATTCTTTTTGGGAGCGCGGGATCTATGCTGACCTCTCAGGTCTTCCCAGCCAGGGAACCAACCCTCCTTGCCAATTCATTTCTTACGTTTACGTCTACACATAAGCATCGGAAAGTATAGTATCTGTTGCTCCCCTAGCAACAACACGAAGCAAGCGTTTGTTGCACACTCTGCTTTTTACATGTGCAAAAACCTGGCGCAGTACACACACATCTGTTCTTACACGTGCCTTAAAACGGTCAAGGTCCAGTTGCATTATTTTAAGGAGAAAAATCCCCCCCTTCAGTTCCCCCCCCTTCAGTGCCAATCGAAGCCTCTCATCAAAAAAGTCGCACGCAGCAGGCAGCCGCACCAAAGAATCCCATTCATGGCAGGCGTCTCTAGCAAAAGAGCCAAGCTGCACGACCAGCTCACCTGGTACGTTACGGTTCTGATCAGCTGAGCTGGCTTACAAGCAAATGTGTATTTCCATAATGCACGAAACAACCAGGCCAACTGAATTTTGAACTTAAGGAGGCTGTCTTGACTCAAGGAAAATGTGACTCCTCTCCCCATTTCACAGAAGGGAATGTGAAGACTGACACACCCTATGGCTGCGATGGTGAACCTGTTCTGACCCCCCTCGTTCCACACCAAAGCACACTCTGATAGAGAATAGAGAAATTACGGCATTTAATTAACAGACAAACAGGTCCTTGGCAGCAANGAGCTGGAACCGGTTCTAAACGGCACTGTAGATTTGTGGAACCTCTTCTATAGAAGAGGTTAGAACTGGCAAGAACCCACTCCTGGTCTCAACATTGATTTTTTATGCCAAGCTGACCCTGAGTAAAGACAGCATTGTAAACCCTCTATTTTTTTTTAATTAAAAAAACCCACCCCCTTCCACATGTTTTCTTATTATCTTATTGGCAGCATTCCTTCTTCAGTTGTATTATCCTAGTATTTAAGGACGTAAGAGCTGGACCAAGCGAACAGTTCATCCTGTCTAGCATTAATCCTACAATTGGAACAAGGACAAAAATTACAGGCCTGTCTCAAAGATCTTGCTGGTTTGGTTATCGACCAATGCAATAAAGCAAATATTGCAATAAAGTGAGACAAACAAATGTTTTGATTTTGCAGTGTGTATAAAAATGATGGGCATGCTATACTGTCGTCTATTAAAGCGCGCAATAGCATTGTGTGTTTAAAAAAAGCGGACCTGTCTTAAGTGAAAAATACTTTATTGTGAAAAAGTGCTAAGCCTCACTGGAGCCTTCAACGAGTCATAATCATTTCGCTGGTGGAGGTTCTCGTAAAAATAACTAAACATAATAAAGAGAAAGTCAATAAAATAAGATATGGCTGAACAAAACACACATTTTCCAACTTGTTTCTCAACCCAAGCAATGTTACGGTGTCTAGACTTCAACTCCCAGAATCCCCTGGCCACCATGAACTCTGGGAGTTGAAGTCCAGGTATTTCCAACTTGCTAAGGTTGAAGGGCTGGTATTAATGTATACATGCAGTTTATCTCCCCCACCTCAATCCTTGTGGACTCTAAATGGACAGGAGAATTGTGAGAGTTGGAAGTTCACCCATCTTTCAGTGGCCAAGGCTGAGGAACATGGTCTTAAGGGGATTAATAGGCTAGAGCAGGAATTGGGTAACTATGGCAACTTTGCATCCTGGGGACTTCAACTCCCAGAATTCCTGAACCAGCAGCATTCTGGGAATTGAAGTCCACAGGTTGTAAAGTTGCCATAGGTCATATTTTATTGTATTTATAGTTTGTCAAACAGGTACAAGATAGCAGGTATAAATATAAACATGGACATGAATGAAAGAAATGAGTACATATAAACGGGGAGAGTAGGACAGGGGCGGTAGGCATGCTGGTGCGCTTATGCACGCCCCCTTTATGGACCCCTTAGGAATGGGGTGAGGTCAGTGGTGACATATTTTTTTTTTTACTACTGGTTCTGTGGGCGTGGCTTAATGGGCGTGGTGTGGCTTGGTGTCCATGGCTTGGTGGGCGTGGCAGAGGAATGATACTGCAAAGTCTCCATTCCAACCCCACTCTGGGGGCAGCCAGAGATGGTATTTGTCGGTTCTCCGAACTACTCAAAATTTCCGCTATTGGTTCTCTGAACTACTCAAAATCTCTGCTACTGGTTCTCGGAACTACTCAAAATTTCTACTACTGATTCGCTGAACTACTCAAAAATTCTGTTACTGGTTCTCTGAACTACTCAAAATTTCCGCTACCGGTTCTCTGAACTACTCAAAATCTCTGCAACCGGTTCTCCGAACTACTCAAAATTTCCTCTACCGGTTCTCTGAACTACTCAAAATCTCTGCTACTGGTTCTCTGAACTACTCAAAATCTCTGCTACTGGTTCTCTGAACTACTCAAAATTTCCCCTACCGGTTCTCTGAACTACTCAAAATCTCTGCTACTGGTTCTCTGAACTACTCAAAATCTCCACTACCGGTTCTCTGAACTACTCAAAATCTTTGCTACTGGTTCTCTGAACTACTCAAATTTTCTACTACCGGTTCTCTGAACTACTCAAAATCTTTGCTACTGGTTCTCTGAACTACTCAAATTTTCTACTACCGGTTCTCTGAACTACTCAAAATCTTTGCTACCGGTTCTCCAAACTACTCAAAATCTCCGCTACCGGTTCTCTGAACTACTCAAAATCTCTGCTACCGGTTCTCTGAACTACTCAAAATCTCCGCTACCAGTTCTCTGA